TAAGAAGAGCGATGTACCTTTTCGTCATAAGCATCCGTCCTGTCCCTATCTCCTTTCTCACTGCGACTACGGCTGCTCCTCTTCTCGCGTCGGCTACTGCTCGAGATGGTGGAACGTGCGTCATCATCATCTGAGCCGTAAATAGAACTACGTTCTGACCGATGCTTCCGTCTGCGATGCTTGCGCTCTTCATCGTCGTCGTCTCTTGACCTGGACGACTTGCTGGAAGCCTCGGCCAGGTTTTCTCTTGATTTGCTGCTGAAGAGGCCCATGATGCCGCTCGATCTTTTCTCCTTCTCTTTCTCTTTCTCCTTTCGAGAGCTACGGTCATCGTCCCATCCTGCAAAGGAAGATATCAAGGAGGCAGTGTCGTCATCCTCACGTCTCGATCGTCGGCGAGAAGATTTCGGCTCGTCGTAAAAGTCGCCATGCTCAGACGCTGCCGATGAACGCGACCTGGTCTTCCTCTCCGGCGAGCTCTCTTTCTTCTTGTGTCTGCGTCGGTGCTCGCCATTAGCGTCAGAACGAGCTTCAGAGTACGTAGATCGTGTATCCCAGTCGTCAATACCCTCGCCAGTCGTTCGACGGCGGTGTCTTCTCCTTCGCTCTTCGCCTTCAGGGGCCTCATAGCCACGGTCACGGCTACGGCTCCGGCTCCGGTCCCGGTCCCGGTTTGCAGATCTGGCTTCACGGCGTTTGCGACGCCTCTCTTCGCGATCCGGATCTTCGTACTTGTAGCTCAATGAAGCAATCGAACCAATGTCATCCTCGTCATAGGGACTGCCTACTCTGTAGTCATCCTCGTCGTCATCTTCATGTCTGCGCTCAGCGTGAGGGTCGCGCGAGTAGCTGTTGCCATTCTTGCCGTTCGAACTTGGGAAATAGGATTTGTCCGAGTCCTTTTCGGTAGATTCTGTGCGCGCAAAGTCGTCTTCCGGAGCATAGTAGCCAGAGTCAGCTACGCTACGAGAAGTCGAAGGTTCAGCAGTTGTGAATGGAGCGCTAGTAGGAACTTTTGGAGCTTCAACAAGCGGCGGACTCTTGAAGTCATCGGATTGCTCCCGACCGCTAATGTAGTCTTCCTGCTTCATTTCGGTCCTCAGAGGCGATCCAACTGATGGTGACCACTTGCCGCTGCTGGTTCTCTTCTCGCTCTTCCGCTTAGGTGTCTTGTCGGCTAACTCTTCAATGCCCTCGAATGCGTAGCTGGGAATCGTAACATTCCTCTCATGCTCTTCGGGTGCACGGCTGCCACTGGATGGCGTTGAGGGTGCGTCGCGAGCAACGGGCTTCTCGGCGGACTCCAAACTGCGTTTGGCACGTTCGAGGTCGGCGGCCATTCTGTCTTGATCCTGACTCATAGCAGTACCTAGCAAAGCAGCGAAGCCACCGGTCATGGCAGCGGTGACAGCCTTGCTACCACTGCTCTCGTCCTTGTAGGATGTGCTTCGTGATGGTTCAATGTCTCGATCGCGGTCTGCTGGGTGTGACGGCTCCTCGGGGCGTGATGGTTCAATGTCACGAATATCACGATCGACGATTGGACTCGATGGCGCACTAGGCTCACTTATCTCCCAAGTGTCTACGCTCGCTCGCTTGGACGATTTGGACGACTTCTTCTTTTTCTTCTCCTTCTTGCTTGACCTGGACGACGACTCGGAAATCGGAGAGGGTTCCGGCTCATCTCGCCGCGGGACGTCCTGCAAAACTACAATCTCGTCAGTACTCTTCGACTTCTTACCCTTATCCTTCTTTGTTGAAGAAGCAAAAGTCTCCTCCGTAGGTGTCGGTATTTCGGGCTCTTCCACCTCGTCAAAACTGCCTGGAATATGCAGTGGCGCAGGCTCTTCCGGAATCTCGCCTTCAATGAAGCCAGGCCCAGTGATACTGCGTTCAGGCATCCTCCGTGTGTTGTACGCTGGGCCAGGTTGATAGTATGCGGTTTGCACACTGCCCGAGGACAGTGCAGCTGAGACAACTGACGGGGTGATTGCGGTCTGCACACTGCTTGACGATGGTGCAGCTGAGATAATGGACGGGGCAATCGTAGAAGGTGCCTTGTGCGAGTCAGAAAACGGGTTGCTTAGGAGAGATGCGTTGTGCCGCCGGTAGTCATCTGGTTCATGGCGCGGTGAAGGAACGACCGTTGTCACAGATGAAGCAATAGACGATACAACAGAGCTGGGGGCAGTGTTGAATGTCTTTTCCTCCTTCTTTTCACTCTTCTTTGGAGAGGCGCTCACGACGCTGCCCCAACTTGATTCGCTGTCACCGTGGATGTACTGCGTGCTCGGGACAGTCTCCTTGGGCTCGGGGGCCCTCGACACCTCTGGCCGATAAGGCTGGTACGTAGAAGTATCTGGTTGACGGGGCTGGTATCCAGATGGCTCTGGCTGGCGAGGCTTATACACAGTTGGCTCTGGTTGGCGAGGCTTATACACGGTTGGCTCTGGCTGACGGGGCTTATACGTAGGCGTCTCTGGCTGGCGGGGCTGGTACACAGACGATGGCTCTGGTTGATAAGGCTCATAAGCAGACGGCTCGGGTCGATAGGGCTCGTAGGAAGGAGTCGGCTCGCTAGGCTTTGGCTTCTCGCGCTCAACAGTGACCTCATCTGATGCATACTTTGGCTTTTCTTGCTTCTTGAGGTCGCCGTCGGAGACGAATTGCTCGCGGAATGATTCAGGCGTGGGTACATCAAAGTGGTGGAACTGGTTCTCTCCCCAGCTGACTCTAGACCTTGCGCGGTTCATATCATCTGACCTGGATTCGTCTATCGATTCGCTGACAGGCTCGACAGATGGCGTGGGCGAGGGAGATACACTACGCACAGATGACGCACGGCTACCTGGAGGGGTAGGCATAGTGAGGCTCAGTACCGGTATAGGGAGCGGCTGTTGCTTAGTTGGCCGGCCATCTCTTGTGGCAGTAAAAGCGTAAGAAGGCGGATACGGGGGCTGGATGGGTGGGTGGTCCTCATGCGCGTAGTAGGTTTGCAGGTCAGTGACACCCTCGTTGGGGTCTACGACGTGAACCTTTGGCAGATTGTCGTTCTCCAAAAGTTCCTTTGGAGCAAAGAAGTCGGCCTGTGATACCGGCTTAGCAGAATATCGGTCTTCCCAATCTCGTAGGATTTCGCGAGCTTCCTGGCGGGACGACTCTTTGAAGAGATCCGGATTGAAAATGTCTTCGTCGAATATGTCTTGCTCGACTTTGCTGGGCTCAATCGTCTTCACACTAGCCGACTCACGTTTTCCACGCTTGGACTCGCTGCTCTTTGAAGAAGACCGACGCTTGAGGCTGCGATCACGTTTTCGCTCCTTTTCCTTGGCCTTGACCTTCTCCTTCTCTTTCTCTTTCTCCCGTTCCCGTTCTCTCTCCTTTTCCTTGTCCTTGTAGGAAGAGATTGCGGCAGACGCAATCGCCGCGGCGGCACCCGCAGCCATGGCACTGGCAATGGATGATTTCTTGGTGTCTGGCTGCAAGACTTCACGTTCTCTGTCTTGCAACTCCTGCTCCTTGCGCTGCACGGCCGTGGCAGTGGAAGCGACCGAGGCGCCTGTGGGTTGTTGCTCCAGTCTTCGGGCTTGCTCAATTGCATAACGACTGCTGGGTTCTTGTGACTCGCGTTCCCTGCGTCGTCGCTCCAAGTCCTCTTGAATCTCGGCCTCGCGTCTTTCGGCCTCTTGTTGCTGGGCTTCACGGCGCTCTCTTCGCTGTCGCTCGGTTTCCGCTGCCTCGATAGCAAGCTGGCGGTGATGCTCCAGGTGAGCCGCGCGCTGTTGACGCTCGCGGTCCTCGGCCTCTCGCGCTTGGCGTGCTTGTGCTTCTTGCTGCTCACGACGACGATCGTTTTCAAGTCTTGCCAAACGCTCAATCTCCATGAACTTGCGCGCCTCTTCCTGCTGGCGCTGAAGCTCGCGGCGACGGCGCTCCTCTTCCTCGCGGCGGCGTTCTTCCTCCTGGCGGCGATGTTCGTCTTCTTGGCGGCGGCGCTCCTCCTCCTGACGTGCCGTCTCCTCGAGGCGAAGCAGTGTCTGGCGGCGCTCTTCTTCCACCTTGCGAGCTTCCTCTTCTTGTCGTTGCTGCTCCAGACGTGCGCGTTCTTCCTCTTCACGGCGTGCCGCCTCTGCTCGTCGTGCCTGATCCTCGAGTCGCAGTTGCTCTCGTCGTGCTTGGTCTTCTAGTCGTTGGCGCTCGCGGCGCGCGAGTTCTTCTGCTTCCCATTTCGCTTCTTCTTCTCGGCGCTGCTGTTCTCGATGCAGACGGTCCTCCTCTTCGCGGCGTGCCGCTTCTGCTCGTCGTGCTTGATCCTCTCGGCGCTGTTGCTCTCGGCGGGCGAGCTCCTCTTCTTCCCATCTTGCTTCATCTTCAAGCCGCTGCTGCTCGCGGCGAAGGTCGGCCTCTTCCTCAAGCATTTCTTGCTGCTTGCGTCGTTCACGCATCTCCTTTTCGACCTGTTCTTGGGTCAGGCTAAAGCGTACGTTGCTGGACTCACTTGGTGGACGGTCAGGCTGTCTAAATAGAGAAGCCGCTGCAGCCCCGGCGGTTGCAGCGAGTCCTGCCATGGCGACATCCCGTTTCCACGAAGAACTCTGGACAGGGGAAGAGTTGGCACGACGGAGTGGAGGAGGCTGAGAAGGTTGTGGGCTTTGGAAGAAGAAGTTCTGGGATTGGGATTGGGATTGAGTTTGAGTTGGAAAGGGAGGTTGTGAGGGCACTTGAGCGAACACCGGAGGTCCTGCAGGAGCAGTGTAACTGGGTTGCGATGATTGAGCAGAGTAGACCGTTCCAGGGACTTGGTGCACAGGCTGTGGTTGCTGAAGGTTTACAGAGCCAGGTCCTGAGGTGACTAGAGGCTGCGAGGTTACGATGGAGCTTGTACGTCGTGCATCAAAAGACGCGTTCGGGTCGTGGGGTGCAACAGGGTAGACGGATTGCAGCGTCTGCGCACTGCTCGAAATGCTGGCATCCGCCACCGGAGTCGCTCTGCCGACCGCATGTCTCACATGTCTGTAGGTGTCACGAGTAAAGGCAAGGATCGCAAAGAATACAAGCTTCAACGACCTTCGCGATCAAGCTCGAGCTCGAGCTCCGACTCTGGTCATGGCAAGTCTGGCTTGATTGGGACCGCTATTGGTGCAGGTCTTGCGGCAGCCGCCTTGGGGGCTACCTCATCCAAGAAGCGTCACGGCCGCTCCAGGTCACCCAAAAAGGTCCAAGTGCTGCACAACCGCAGAGAAAGCAATGATGAGGAGCGAATGAGAAGATCCCAAGAACTTCGCCGCATGGCCTCTCGAACCTCGAGCTCTGGAGCGTCTGTTATTGAGATTGGCCAGCACCACCAATACGAAGGCGGCTTTTTCCAAGGCTTCTTTGCAGCTCCTCCTCCAAAAGAGAAGCCTGTAAAGTCACCCAGTCTCAAGAAAAAGAAGAAGGGCTTCTTCAACTTTGCCAATGCCTCTACATCTTCATCTGACTCGGAAATGGCCTTTGGCACTGGCTATGTGAGGAGACGCAGACGATCGTCGCACACCAGGCGTCAGTCACCTAGCAGACGTCAGTCACCCAGCAGGCGCCAGTCACCTAGCCGGCCCCCGGTATCTAGCCGGCCCCCGTCAACCAGGAGGCGCGACTCGGATGAGCGACTCAAGGCTTCTCTCATTGGTCTTGGCGCCACTGCGGCTGCAATCACAGCAGCAAAGGCTGGCAAGAGGAAGCAAAGCCGAGAGACACTCGTCACCAAGGAGAACCGCCACAGCCGTAAGACGAGCCAAGCGTCCGGGCAGGGTTCGCTTTACGGGGATGATGAGTGGGAAGACCTGCCTGATGACGGTGCTTCTCAAGTTTCAAGCGATGGTGGTCTCGCATACGGTGACTACGGGTTGAAAAAGTCCAAGAGCAATGATTCTCTTGGGTCCAACGACTCGGGTACCAACAAATGGGGCTGGCGTTGGGGCTTTAGCAAGAAGAAGAGAAGGCCGTCTAACAACCTCTATGACAACATTGCCGAAACTTCGCTCATCGGACCCGCCGCAGCAGGCGCAGCAGGCGCTGCAGGTGCTGCGGCAGGCACAGCTGTTGGATCTGCCCACCGCCGTCACGACAGCGAGGCCGTAACTGTAGCTCTTGCGATCGAGTGACCGGCTACGACTTCGGCGTGACATGCGTGAGCGTCCAGACTTGATGCTATATGTGTCGTCAAAGTCATCGCGGGCCGCATTCAACACGGCCTTTCCAGCTTTGGCAAGACCGAGGCCTCCCAGGCCTCCCAGGCCGGCAGCTACCCAGCCGGCAGTACTGTTGCTTGTCTTGCGTCTGTCTTCGCCCGAGATGGAGCTTTGAGACTTCTTCTCCTTCAAATTGTAGCGCGATGATTTCTCAATGCCGCCAGAAGGCCGCATGTACTCGCTGGAACGGCGCTTGTAGTAGTGGTGCTTCCGTGGGGCATCTAGGACAGAGGAGCGGGGGTCGAAGCAGCCTTTGCAGACACCAATGTACTCGGTGTACTCTTCCATCTTTTGCACATCCTCGTAGTCCTTCCACCAATCGACGAATCGGGAAACGGGGCCGGTGTGCTGGTGGTGCTGTGCCATGCCGCCTGAGACGTAGCTGCTTGACGCGATCCCGTTTTGATGATGTCCATTGGGAGCGCCGGATGTCGAGTGGTTATGTGAGGAGGCGTGCGATTGTGCGTGTGAATGTGCGTGTGAATGTGTGTGTGAGTGTGTTTGTGATTGTGAATTCGAGTGCGTGTGTGAATTATGCTGGTGTAGACCATACGCCGCCAATCCCGCAGCGCCAGCGGCGTAGAGCCCGGTATTGCTGCCGGATGAAGACTTTTCGGGCTTGCTTGGACGAGGGGGCTTTGGCGGAGGCGTGCCTTCCACACCGTGTGTGCCTTCGCCGTACGAGGGAGGGTAGTTGCCGTTGTTGGCAGCAGAATTAGAGGAATTAGGGCCGTTTCCGTACATGTTGTAGATGGATGCAGGGGCAGCAGGGGTATTATTAGAGTATGAAGAGTATGCAGAAGGAGGGCGAGCATTGGACGAGCTGTGGTAGGTCGTGGAGTGCTCGTGACTAGAAGAGCTGTGGCCCATGGCGTATCCTAGGGCGGCGCCGCCGGCCATGGTCGCAGCAGATCCAAATGTGCTTGGCTTGTCCGGCCTGGACGAGGATGCTGGGCGCGGCGGCTTCTGGGGCGCGGGCGTGTCCTCGATGAAGGCTCCGGGCATGGACGAGCTCGAGGGCCGTGGAGGCTTGGACGACGACGGCGCGCTGGTGCTTTGCGCGTAGAACTCTGCAGCGGCGCCTGAGCCCGTGTCGGCAGCGGGATTGGGTTGTGCAGAAGCAGCCATGAGATGGGGCGTGTCCTGGCCAACGATAACCGACGGTGGCTGCGGGCGAACGCCCGGCTGTTGACTGACGGACTGGCCCTGGTCATTGTAGTAGTCGGCGGCGGCGCCAAAAGGATGGCCGCCGGGCAAGGCACCCGAAGCATACTGGGCAGGGTCCTGGCCAGGGAATTGGCTCTGCACGTGGCTCGACATGGCGTCGGGGCGGTGGTATTGCGGGTGTTGTGGGGAGGGTGATTGTTGTTGTGATGAGGGCAGTGGCGGGCCGTTGGCTCCCACAGGCAGAGCGCCGGACATGATGGGCGCTCCTGCCTGGCCGGGAAACTGCGAGAAGCCATCGGTGCCAATCTGGCCGCTGAAGCTGCGCTGGACCGACTTGGGGCTCTCGACAATGTCGCCGCGGTAGCCATCGGACTGCGACAGGCTCGAGGCCCGCTCGGAGCGCGTCGAGCGGCGCCTCTCCGTCTTGCGGTCCTTGTCTTTGCTCTTTTTCCTGTCCCGGTCGTCGCGCATGGTGGAGGCGGACGACTCTGCATAGCTGCTGCGACGGTCGTCGCGGCGGCGGTCGTAGCGGTCGTCGTCGTTGTTGCTGTTGTTGTTGTGCAGGTCGGTGTTTGGGGCGAAGCCCGAGGGGGCCCGCGGGCGCGGCGCCATGTCGTCGAGGGCGGTCCTGAACGAGGCCGTCGACGAGGCAGCCGTGTCGCGGCGGGAGCTGGAGGGCTTGCGGGTCGATGTGGACGAGACGAGGGAGCGGGTGTCTGGGTCTCTGTCCCGGTCGCGCTTGGAACGCGTGGAGTCGATGGAGCGGCGGCGGCGAGGGTCGTCGTCCTTGTTGGTCTGCGATGCCGCTGAAGCGCCCGTCAGCCTGCTCCACATGATGGCAGAGGCAGCGCAGTGGGCGGCCGGGGGCGGGTATTAGGGTGCAGTGCTGGCAATGGGTTGGGCGCAAACGAGATGAAGCTCGCGGCGGGCTAGCTGGGTATATCGCTGTAGGCGGTTGCAAGTAAGAGACAGGAGGGGGAATCGTCAAATCGTCATGTCGTAATTGGTATTGGTACAAAAGGCAGGGTGAAGCAAAAAAGGCGGCGTGGGATGCGCGCAATGCCAAACGAAAACACGATGCAGCAGAAGCAGAGGCAGAGGCGGCGGCGGCGGCGTGCAGTGCCAATCGCAAAGGATGAAGGTGTGGTAGAGAGCAGCTGAGGTGCTCTTCTCTGGGCCTGGTCTGGCACCCAAGCCCCGGCCACCAACTGAGCTGGCGGCAAGGGTTAGCCCCGGTCCGCTCACAACCTGGAGGCGAGGCTGGTCCAATGGCCGCAACATGGCAAATGCTCCTTCGTGCGGATCATGCTGGGGGGGCCCTCTTGCGCTGCGACTCCCACTCCCTATCGTGTGCGTGTGTGCATGCGTGTGTGCGCGTGTGCGACCGTGTGTGAGGATGTGTGCAGGGCTCATTTGCTGGCCGCTTGACACTTCTGACGTTTGCGCGCGCGTCACGGACAACCACGTTGCGCGCGCGAGGGCGCTGGGCAGCAAAGGCGGGCGCGCGAGGGTGCTGAGGCCAGAGGAATGGCATGGCATAGCATGGGATGACAAACATGGCCTGCTATCTCGCCCTCGGCCTGCCAGCCCATCTTGCCCCGTCTCTGTCGCCCGCCCATCCATCACATGCATGCATGCAGCACTGGCCTCTTGTTCCCGCCCCTACACCTAGTCGGTTCGATTCCCACTCGGCCCAAACGGTCCCACCTGTTCTAATTGACGCGCCTCCCAACCTCGCGCCACACATGCACACATTCTCACAATCAGTCTTTCGTCCACACACACACGCCCACTGACCACGTCCATTGTCCATTGATCCGCTCTCGTGCGACATGCATCGCCTATCTGGTCTCATCTTCGCCCGGTGTGACCGCTGCAACATATCTGTATCTAGTATATGCATGGCCACCCCGCCAGAAAAAAAAATATGTGCCCAGTGTCCGGTGTGACCGCGGCCCAAGCTCCCCCCCCCCCCCCCCACCTTGTTGTGTTCCTCGGTGTTGCGACTCGCCGAAGCTGTTAGTAGTGTCAATCGTTTGAAGCTTGCTTCGCCTGTCCTTTTCTTTTTTTCCACCCAATGCCGCTCCGCCAATGGCCAAGTGCCAGATGCCAAATCCCATTGCTCCGCGGCCACGTGATCTGGCCGATGCAAGTCGCCGCCGCCCTCAGGCAATCCCGTCCTTCACCCAGCAATGCGCCTTGCATTCGATCCTCGGCCCATATCATACCCTGCATCCATCTCCAACCCACACGTGCAAGTCCTGAGAGCCTCCCTTCCCCACGCCTACTAATACTGTCCATGTGTACATATGTATGTGTATGCAGTGCACAAGCCAGAAAGCCCTTAGTCGCGGAGCCTGCTTGCGCCATGGAGCAAGCCCTATAGCCGTCGCTCGCTTCTCCTAACCATGCCCCACACACCTGTCACTTCCATTAGGGCCGTCCGCCTGCCATGAGCATCTGGCGAATCTGCATAATCTGCGCGCGGTACTCGGGCGTCAGCTGATCAATCTGCTGCGGCGTAAGCGCCATGACCTGCGCGTATAGCGCCTGCTGATCCATGGCGCCCGGCTGCTGCGGCTGCTGTGCTGGTGGAGCTTGTCCGTATGCCTGCGGAGCAGCCGCCTGGGGCTGTGGCGGTGTCGGCGCTACCTGTGGCGCATATCCACCGTAGTTCACGGGTGCTCGCGCCACTTGGGCTGGTGCTTGCTGGACCGGCTGCACAGGCGGCGCTTGCGCAGGAGCCGCCGATGTTTCCACCAGCGACGTCAGAATCTGCGGGTCGACCAGCTGCAGGAGAAGAAGCGACTGGAAGATAGCGTAGGCTAGCTGAGGCGCCTGACGCAGCAGTTCCGTCGCCTTGCCCGGGTCCGTCATCACTAGGCCCTTCATCTGCGAGAGAATGTCGAGGAGCTGGTCCGGAGGAAGCGTCGAGAGCGTGCGCGAGATGGCGTCGGGGCACGTGAGGTTGGGCGGTAGCTCCACGCCCGGCGGCAGAGGGCCAAGTGTGCTCGACGGCTGCGCTGGCGGAGGCCCGCCCGCTGCCTGCCCGTTCATGCCCATCGCCGGCGCGTTCTGCTCGCGGTTCGAGGGCGCGTTGTCGCCCGAGCCGCTCTCGTTGGACCAGTCGACCCTCAGCTTCCTTCCCATGAGATCGTAGTCGTTGAGGTTGCGCACCGCCGACGCTGCTGCATCCGCGTCGGCAAACTCTGCGAACCCGAAGCCCTTGGGCCGTCCCGTCTCCTTGTCGTATACCAGCCGGAAGTTGTTGACCTGTCCGACGCGACCGAGGGTTTCCACAATGAGCTCTTCGGTTCCGCCTGTTTAACCGTGTCAGCAATGCCCTTGCGCGATGCGCCTGTATGGGCGCATACCGTAGGGAATATTTCCGATAAAAACCACGCGGCCGGCCTTGTCGTTGGGCGCCATGATGTCTGATCGAATGCTTCCGGTCGAGGGCTGTGTGCGGGTGTGTGCAGATGGAGACGCTCGGTGACCTGGTGATGTTAGGAGGACAAACGTGGTAGACGTTTCTCTGAGCAGCCAGGTGCTCTGAGCTACCGTAGGTCCAAGCTTGGCGCGTCCAGGCACGCGCTCAGCCTTGCCTCTCTCACCAATTTCTGCCCACATTCCACTCATGTAGCAAACTTGAAATTTGGGTGCAAAATCTAATATTTACAACTACACTATACTAATACTAAGGTCTATGAAACACTTCTCTACTTTCCTACAGCTTCCTACAACTTTGCGCTCTGCGGCGTGCAGCATTGGCCGTCCTTGGCAACAGTCGCAGTCACGCTCGGCTGGTGATGCTGCTCGCTCAGCAAACTGCTCTTGTTGAATGCCTGCTCGCTGGGGGGAACGTCCAGTGCAGGGTTCTTGTCGAAGAAGTTGACCGGCTTCAGATGAATCTTCAAAATCTCACACGGCATAACGGGAAAGTCCTCGATCCTAGGGACGTGGTTAATGCCCGCCTGGATGTACACGACAAGGTCTGTGTCCTTGACATTCTCGTTCCTCTCGGCCCACGCCCGCACGCCAGTTCCTCCTCGTGACTGGTTCGTGTATGTGCCGCCCGCATACAGTTCGCCGTCCTTGTGCTTGACGACGTAGATGTTATGGTCTGAAAACTCGGCGCGCTTGTAGTTGAAGCTGTCCTTGTCCGACAGGATCTTCTGGAAGGGAGGTGCTTGGATCTTGTATGCGACTGCCTTGCCATTGATTGGGTTTCGTACATTCGGGTTCTGGATTTTGAATGTGCGGTTGTTCTCATAGGCAATGTCGTAGCCCCCAGACTGCTCTACAACAGTCTCCTGGACATAGTACCCTGTTCCATGAGGGTTGAATTCCGAGCGGGGCATGGCAAAGGCCTCGTCGTACACCAGCCGGTTGTCGTAGCCGTCAATCATAGGGTCAACTCGCAGCGAGAAGATGTGCTGGTGGTGGGCTGCAAGCACACCGGGGTGCACAACTGTGCCAAAGGGCACATCGACGCCTTCGTCAATCGGCTGTGTGCTCAGAATACCCGTTGCCCGAATCTCGTAGCTGATTTCTCCAGCCTGGTTGAAGAGGAAGGCGAGAATGTACTCGTAGTTGCTGACAGTGATGATGCTCTGGAGCACCAACTCTCGGCTGCGAGTGACTACTGCGCGCCCAGTGCGGTAGTTGGTGTGCTTGAAGCCGATGCCAGCATCTTGCTCGTGGATACACACTACGTTGGGCATATCGAGAACACCACCCTTGTCGTCTGACAGTACCGAGCTTAGATAGTAAATGGAACCCAGACAGTCACAGCCAAGCTTGAGGTTGTTCGCCATGATACCAGCACCGGCATCGCCCAGGTCAAAGGCACTCTTCTTGAAGTATGGGTGGCGGGGGTCCGCATAGGGAATGTTCATGTCGCTCAGACTCAGCCTGTAGAAGAGACTGCGGTTGTCGTAGCGAACATCGTAAAGCACCATGCCCTCACGCTGGTTGAAGCCGACTCTGAATTGCCACTTTTGCCATGAGAGGACGCTTGATGTCCCCTCTTGTTGAACCTGGAAGCTTGCACCTTCAGGCTGAATTACGTTGAGCGGCTTGAGGTCTGTCCGCAGCTTCTGCGCCTCGGGAATGTACTCGTTGGGCGGTTGGATCTTGTACTTCTCTACCGGCTTGATGGTGTTATCAGCACCAGTAGGCAGCAAGTCGATGCGAATAACCGTCATAGTCTCGGTGCTAACCACTGGAGAAATGGGCAATGGCATCGCATAGTGGTTGGAGTCGACCTCGGAAGAGTTGTTCGGGTCCCTCAAGTAGAGGAAGCACTGGTAGAGCCTATCCTCGTCACCAATGCCATCGGAGCCGTAGATCCAGGGGTCGCTGATGATCACGGTGCCTTCGGGAAGTTGGAGCTTGGCGATTTCAGCCTTGACTTTTTCATCCGCAAGCGCGGCCTTTTCAATGGCAAGAATCTCATCTCCGTCTCCGTTTGCATGGAGAAACGGCCCTAGCAGGGAGTTCCGCTCCACCCGGCCGGATGTCAGGTCGACAATGGCTTCATGGAATTTGCTCTTTTTCGGTAGTTAGCGGCAAACCCATCAAAGGTCCCGGATGCTTCACTTACCGTGTTTCGGATGTAGTAGTTGATGAAGGCCTTTCTCGGGATGGAAGGCAGAGGTTTGCCGTCATGTTCGGCCTCCAAGTACTGGAGAACCTCGACCTTGGGTGGCTCTTGCAGCGTCACGACCTTGAAGTGCAGGTCCGTCTGTGCTGGCCAGGATGCCTTGATGATAGCGGCGGCACTCTGCAGTTCTGCTGCTGACAGCGGGGCAAGAGGGTGGCAAGGGCCCGACTTTGTGCTCTGCGGGGCAGGGTTGGTGACGTGCTCTGCGGACATATTGGATCAACACGTAATAACAGCAAGGCTGGTTTCTGATTCTCAGCTGTCAGAGTCATGGAATAGAGGATAACGCATATTTAACCAAGTCCAAAAAAACGGCTGGACCTGCTACAAAAGGATAATATTGCCTGACGATAAGCCAGTGGATTTGCTTCTGCTATCTGCAGCTAGGCGCAAGGACTTTCTGTATACGTAATATCGAGTCACTTGCACAGCCCCGCTATCGCTGTAGCCCGTCTTTGCTACACACTTGAGCAGCCAGTCAGTCAATCCTAGGTGACGGATACATATCCGCCATTTTCATTCGTCAGAGCCAGCCGCAGTAGATACGTCAAACAAGTGTGCAATAGCGCACCCCGAATGATGTATCTCGCAGCCAAGACGCTCGCTGACCCCAACACCCTCCTTGACTCCCAGTATATCGACGTCCAAACAACCAGGCCGACAACTCGGATCGTATACTGCACACCGTCTCTGCAGTCGTAGTTGCGTAATCGAAAGCGTCGAAGCAATCCAGATATCCTCAGAACGATGGTGTTAGGCGATCCGCAGACTTGATCTGGAATTTTAGCATCGCCAGCTCGACCGCAGATCCACAAATGGAACCAAGCAGTACGCCGAGTGGTACCTCGAAGAGTTTCTTTGTCACCTACTGCTTGTGACACAGCAAAACGTGGTTGCAGGCACGCGGTGTACGCGGTGTGGACATTGGGAATAACAAGTGGGCGATGTTGTCCGTTTTGTGTGGCCTCGGGACCCAACCTGGAAGAACCAACTTTTAACCATGCGACGAGCCTAGGCAACTTACAAATCCTCCGGATACCGGTGCCAGGCGATCCGAAATTGGCGGTTTCGATTTCCTTTTAATCTATCGCATGTCCACATTCGATGCTCTGAAACGCAGGAAAACTGGACCCAAGCCGATCCCCCAAGTCATGGCCAAAGTCGGTGCCTGACTACGTTACTGTCGGCACTACTGGGAATAATACGAGGGGTGGGAACTATCTGGAGTATGCCATGACGGCCAGGCTTTCATGCCCTCGCAGAGCTTGGTAAGGCCTAAAGTCACGTTGGACAACCAATATTTCTGCTACACCATGCATGAAGCTGTCACTGACGCACGGTCCGTGCACAGGAACCAGTTTCAAACACTCGCCCAAGACGTTGACATTTTGCCGTAGTACACGTCCAAGCATCAGCCTCAACGGTACAAGTATGGAAGACGGTCTTGTTTCCTTTTTCCTTCGATCGGTTCGCGGTCCGCCTTTGCTGGATCCACGCCAATCAAAACATATTAGTCCACATATTAATATATCTTAAGCATCGAGCGTTACTGGATTCCACAGAGGCGCCAATCTGGTTTCGCAAACCCCACAGACCCACAGCTGTTTACTCCTTGGCCGTTTTCATTCGCTCGCATGGCTCGCTTGACACGTGCATGTCCAAATGCTGTTCATCCTAGATTACAGAGTATTGTACTGGCAATATCGGTGGCTGTGTTGCCACACGCCGTCCCTGACATTGTGTCACCAGGACGTCCCGAGAAGGAAGCTCGGCGAGCCACCACCGGCAATGAATCTCCACAACTGCGTCACGTCCCGAGTCGCTACCAGTATGCACAGCGCCAGCGTATCTACCCTGTGACGGTTTTTCATTTCGAGTTTCAGACTAGATCCAATCACGCCTCGAGCCTGAACTGTTTGGACATGCATGGAAGCGGGCAATATGGAGTTGCAATATGGCACTGGAAGCCAGCCAAGGCCTACAGAAGTGTATATAAGACAAGGAGAGGTTCGCCTTGCATTCTGTACCACGATCAACAGCACTTCCATTCCATTCACTACCTTTACTACACGCCTTTCTTCCAGCATCAACCATGAAGTGCTTCGCTGTTGCCACTCTAGCCCTGGCGGCTCTCACTGAGGTTGCTCAGGCTCATTGTAAGAGACACTGCAGTGCAGGAAGAGCCATACGTTAACAGCCAGAAAGACATCTTTGAGTACCTGACTGCCAACGGTGCCAAGGGAGGTCTCTTCCAGAACATCAGGCCTGTGCCCAACAACAGCCCTGTTACCGACCTGTCCTCCAACAACCTCCGCTGCAATGTCAACGGAGGCAGCGGCAGTGGAACCACGACTGTCTCAGTCGCTGCTGGTTCCAGTGTCTCTTTCACTGCCGACCAGGCCGTCTACCACCAGGGTCCCGTCACCTTCTACATGACCAAGGTCGACTCCGCGGCATCCGCAGACGGCTCCACCGATTGGTTCAAGATCAAGGAGATTGGTCCCGATTTCTCCGGTGGCGACGCCAAGTGGGACATGAGCAGTACGTCGAGGATTCTGAGAGTTTGAAGGAAAAAATTGCTAATGTGGTTTCAGCCACCTACTCGGTCAACATCCCCTCGCAAATCGCTGCTGGCGAGTACCTGCTCCGCATCGAGCAGCTCGGCATCCACAACCCCGGCAGCCCGCCTCAGTTCTACATTTCTTGCGCACAGCTCAAGGTCACTGGTGGTGGCAGCGGCAAGCCTTCTCCTACCACCAAGATCCCCGGCCACGTCAAGTCGACCGACCCGGGCTACACTGCCAACATCTACGCCAACTTCAAGAGCTACACCGTTCCCGGACCCAAGGTCGCCACATACTAGATGTGCTCATGGGAATGGCCTTTGTGCTGCTGGCCTGGCACCAAGATGGCCTAGGCGCTCCTTTTTTTTTCCGCCGGTCTTCTTCCGAACCACAAGTTCACACCTCCTTCTTCAATGTATATACATCTGTTGTATAACACTTTGCTGTTGATATATATCCCCACAATTCTACAGAGATTTGCCTTTTGCGGGTAAATCCCATATTTTACGAATAAATCAATGTTAAACATGCAAGCTTGCATGATTGATGTCCGTTGCTGAAATCTCTTCACTTCATATTACTGATCCAGCCCTGTATTGTCGTTCTATTGGTTCACTGAAGAAAATAAGGGGGTTTGCTCATTTGTGAAGCTGCTGCTTTGGTCACGGACTTGGTTCGCAAAATACCCCGATCAAGAATATTGAATGTGATATGCCTGTTTGCCCGGTTGTATGTAATATACCAGTGTGTCCGCCAGTCGAACCCTCCGTTTCCTTAATCACACTGGACTTCCCCCTTGACTCTCCCCCCCTTGACGGACACATTCCATCGCGCCGACACCGTGTGAATCGAGCAGTGTTCGCAAAACCCATCACTCCTCCTCTTCACACATCGCCGCCCACATGCCAACACCCACAGCACAGTCTTATATCTCGCAGAACCGAGCATCATGGCCACCAGTTCTCCGTGCCATCGTCCTTTCGCTCATCCCCTCCCTTAGCTCGAGCAGCAGCCAGCGTACAAGAAGGCACCCAACCTGAAGCCACCGAACTTCCTCCTCTCCCACCTCCCCCTTTTTTTTCCCCTCCCTCAATGTCAGCAGGCCCTCCACCCGGCCACGCCTGGCACCCCAACGTAGGCAACAACCCGAACATAAACCGCGAACCGCCGCCGCCTCCCCTCGACGGCGCTGCGCCCTTTGCTCCAGCTCCAGCCCCAGCCCCAGCCCAAGTCGTCGTCGAGCACCAGCACCACAACCCCGTGTACGCACCCCCGCTTCCCATTGGCATCGCGCCGCCCCTCGGTATACCCATAGGTGCGTTTCCACCCATCTTCATGGACCCATTTGTGGGTTTCGCACCACACCCACTACCGGGCGCCGCGCCCCTCGCTCCCATCCGCAGCGGAAACTTCCTGCCAAATGCTCAGTACGGCATAGGCTTTGGTCTGCACGCAGCCGGGGTCCCGATTCCGCCGCCGCCGCCAGGTAGTACGCTCGCGCCTTTTGCGGCTGCGGCGCCGCTCTGGACCATGGGTGGTGGCGGGCTGGCGTTTGGAAATGTGCCTGTGGCAGGAGTGCCGCCTGTGGTGCCCATGGTGCCCATGGGCGGAGGAATAATGGGAGGAGCGACACAGCACGCGCGTGCCGCGCCGCTCTTCCACGACGCGAATAACGGACACGCGGCACAGCCCGCGCAGACTGATGTGTCGCAGATTGCGGGCGGGATCCCCGCGGGCGTCATGCTAGTTGAGTCGGCGGAACACACCATCTTCATGCGCATCACGGGCAACATTTGTCCGTGGCTCTCGCCAGGCGCCCAGCTCCCTGTGGAGCAGCTCGCGGCTGCCAGCACCACGGGGCTCAACCGCTTGATCCAGATATGCAATGAGGGTGTGCCTGTCGAGGAGCTCGAGGGCACCGCCGTGACGGAATGTATTGAGTTGGGGAATGGGCTGTGGGAAAAGGGCCAGACGTTTAGGTATAATGATGCGGTGTCCAAGGTGCTGACGATGAAGGATGCTGGCTGGGATAATACGAGGAATCGGGCTGGGGGCAATTCGCTGCATCTTTGGGGACATAGGGTGTAGGGCTGTGGTTGTGTTGTTTGCTTGGGTAATGTGGCAAGGGAGATGTCGTGTAATATCTGGGGAGGGTTGATGTGTTCATTCTTACTTGTGCTGCTTACTTACTTACGATAGATATGTCCGTCCATATTCCTGGCTTTTTACTTCACTTCACTTCCTTGCAATTGCCCCCCCTCCCCCTTTTGTCTTAGTCACCATCTATCTATATCTGTTAGACAAGCACAACACATATAACCACTGAAAGCACTAGAAATAAATAAAAATGGAACCTTTCATCAACAACATATACATCTATTCTACTTCTATGCGAGCGAGTTCCTGACAGTCGAATTCCTCGCCATGGAATTCCTCGCCAACGAGTTCCTCACCGTCGAATGGCGTATCGTCGAGTTGCGCACACTCTCATCATGCAGCAATCTGGCTGTATATTTCTTCTTGCCGCCGCCCAATTTGCGCCACGCCCTACCGATCCAGCGCTCCCTCTCCATTTTGAGTACCACGTACGCCAGGAACCTGTATACGATAGCGCAGATGCCCAGGGCCATGATGTTCATTTCCGGGTTGTGGTTGAGGCGGTACAAGTCGAGGACCTGTTCGCCCGTTTGGATGGGGCACTGGCCGTTGACGCGCTGCCAGTCTTCGCATGAGAAGTTGAGGCCGCGCAGTGTGTAAGGAGCCATGTTTCCGACGGCCCATTTGACGGGGGACAGGTGGTTCCAGGCCTGGAGGAAAGCTGGGATTTCGAGCGAGAGCACGCCGCCCATGACCTGGGCGACGCTGAGGAACACCGACATGCAGTTTACGGAGAAGCCTGTGTGCGTGAAGAGCGTGTTGAAGGCTATGCCCAGGCTCTCGCCGCAGCTCGTCATGCAGAAGGCGTTGAAGGTGATGATGAAGTAGGTTTGTGCGTCGCGCTGCAGGCCGACGGCGAAGACGGCGAAGAGCGCGAAGATGAGGCAGCTGAGGATCTCAAACGGCGTCGTGATGGAGATGTAGGTGAGGAAGAAGGCTTCCACGCCGTAGACGCGGTCGTCAAAGTCGCGGTAGAAGACGTCGCGCTCCGTGGGGTATACGGCAATGTTGTTGAGCACTGGACGGTGTTAGTATATTTCCCAGTCCGGTAAGAACAAGGCGGACTTACTGCCGACGAAATAAAGAGGTGCAATTTCCACCAAGAGTCCAAGTCGGTTCTGGACATAGAAATAGTTTGTCTTGAGGGGCGCAAAGTAGAGTGAAAGAACGATACCAAGACCCACGACTTGCATGATTCGCGCAATGATGATGTCGGGCTGGCGCAGCAAGTTCTTGGTGGCACGGCGGATCAGGATCGAGTATGCGGTGAGGAACGACGACGGCTCGCGAGCCATACTGCCCAATTCTGCAGGCGTAGTAATGGAGCCGGTACGGGCAACGGGAAAGGCATCGGGGGTCCATGATTGAATGAGCTTGCGCACTTTCTTCCTGCTGGCTACCTCGCGTGCTTCGTGCTGGAGGTCGACGGTGATCAAGTCGAGGGCAAAGTCGGCCGGATTGACGTGTTCTGGACACTCGTAGCCTAGTCCTGCAAAGTGCGGTAACATGTCTGTGGAATGGCCTGAGAAAATGGGGTGGCCGCCGCGAGCGAGCAGGAGAACGTTGCCGAAAAGACCAAACAGGTCACTGCGTGGCTGGTGGATCGTCACGATGAGCGTGCGGCCTTCTTGCGCCAGGCCGCGGAGGACGTCGACGATGGAGAGGGCAGTGAATGCATCCAGGCCGGAGAGAGGTTCGTCAAGCAACAGCACCCGCGGCTCCGTGAGAATCTGCACGGCAATTGTCACTCGACGCTTCTCGCCGCCACTAATACCCTTGACAATATCGTTGCCGATGAGATTGTCTGCGCAGTCCTTGAGACCCATCTTCAGCAGGATCTCCTCTGCCTTTTGCATCTTCTGTTCCTTGGACATCCATTTTGGCAACCGCAATCCAGCTGCATAGCGGAGAGTCTCGCGCACGGTAAGCGAAGCCAAAAGTGCGTCGTCGTCCTGTGTGACAAAGGAGCAGATGGAGTGGACGACTTCGCGAGCAGGTATCAGGCCGTTGTACGTCATGGAACCATACTGCTTGTATCGCGTTGCTGTGTCGTCCTTGAGTCGCATAGCCATACTATTCAGCAGAGACGTCTTTCCAGAGCCCGATGGCCCCATGATGACGTTTAGAGACCCAGGCCGGAAGTCTGCCGTGATGGGGTTGAGGATCGACTTTGTCCAGCGCTTACGCAGCGAGCGCTTCTCCACGTCCATTCCATAGCTCTCTAATCGAATATCAATTGTCCGCACGTCCTCGGGCGGTCGCGCACTCATCTTCTCCTTGCCGGCCGAAGCATCCATGTTGGTTGGTCTTGCACGCGCCATTACAATCTCGGCATTCCAGAACTTGAGTAGCACACCAGCACCAAGGTAAAAGGCAATAGCGAAGCCCAGGAGCGCAAGGATGGGCCTCCAGACCCAGTCTTTTGGAAAGCCGAGCGTAGCCAGGATAAAGTCGCCGTCGTATTCTTTGCAGGCCGGGTTCGACCGTCCACCCTCGTACGGACAGTCGTAGAACTGGCCGGTAAACTCATTGGCGCACAGGGCGCCGAAAGCGTAAAAGACATAGGCAGTCCACTTGGTCCAGCGCACGTAGATGGGAATGGTGTTTGCCTGAATAAAATAACCGCAGCCCATGGACTGCAGAGTGTATGCCAGGTTGGCGACCAAGCTCGCGCCAGCAAAGCTCCTCGAGCAGGCAATGCATGTCATGGCGAAACAGACTGCGATGTACTGGTGGAGCAGTATGATGCCGAAGAAGGTGAGGAACTGGGCTCCGTCGGCACGGAAGCCGCAGAAGAAATAGTAGATGAGGGAGAAGAGGAGGGGCACGGGAACGTCCTCGATGAAGATCCTGGCCAGTCGTCTAGAAATGAGAAATGCAGGTATGCTGACGACGCCTTGCCGTGCTTCCTCGTCGAACAGCTGGATGTCAGTGGTCAGCCGGTATGTCTCGTACAGCAGGACGAGATATCCCTGGAGCGCAGCCGCATTGTATAGTGCTCCTTGGCGCGATCGAATGCCGGTCAAAGACCCGTCCATGTTCAGGAATATCCAGCCTGTAATTATGGCCATGCCAATGGCTTCCACCAGACTGCCAAACATGCCTGCGATGGGAATGTCGTGTCAGTAGGAGCCCGCGTGCGCTTGTGGAGAGTATGCTTACCCATTGGATCGCGAATGGTGACGGTCCACGTTCGCGCCGTCAGCACACGAGTCTGCTGGATGAGCGAGGTGCGGTTCTTTCTCCTTCGCTGGGCAGAAGATTTTGTAAAGGTCGTAGTCAAAGGGCCAGATGCGTCCTTTTCGTTCAGGGCACTGTTGCAATGCTCTCTCCATGCTGCTATCACGCGACCCACACGTTCACGGGCGGCCAGTTCTGCTTCCTCGCTCCGGTTGTCAATGCTGACAACATCGATCAGATACTCTGCTGGGTTGGTGAATGGCGGCATTTCATAACCCAGCTTGGCAAAGTAGGGAAGGCATTCCTTGGCACTGCCGGCATAGGCAGGGCTGCCGCGTGACAGGAGGATGACATTGTCGAACAGGTCCCAGATCTCGGAGCGCGGCTGGTGGATGGTGACTATGATGGTCCTCCCTTTCCTGGCCAGGTCGCGCAGAGTCTTGACCACCTGGAAAGCGCTTGTCGAGTCGAGTCCGGTGGTGGGCTCGTCCAGCCAGAGCAGCGACGGGTTGGACAGCAGCTGGACGCCAATGCTTGTCCTCCTCTTCTCTCCGCCCGAACAGCCCTTGTGCGCATGGTTGCCGATTCTCGTGTCGGCCGCCTCTTTCAGGCTCAGCTCGAGAATGACCTCTTCGACCAGCTGCCTTCGCTCGTGCTGGGTGACGGACGAGGGCAGCCGCAGCTGGGCAGCATACGTCAGTGTTTCTCGCACCGTCAGGGTGGGGAGCAGAATGTCCTGCTGGATGACATAGGCGCTTCTAATCTGCGACGCATCCTCGCTGCCGTTGAACAGGGTGCGCCCCGACGTGGCCAGTCGGCTCCCTACGGCCAGCCGGCCGCTCATGGAATTCAGCAGCGACGTCTTCCCGCTGCCACTCCCTCCGATAATGGCGGTCAGGCTGCCGGACGGCATGTCTGCCGATATGTCGTCGAGGATGGTCTTGACATGGCTCTGGTCTGCGGGCGCCTTGGGCTTGGAAAAGAGGCGGGCCAGGGCATTGGGCGACTCGTCGACGCAGACGGAAAGATGCTCGAGGCGCACGGCGACGGGGTCGACCTCGCGCAGGGAGATGCCGTGGTCATTGTTGCGGGAGGTGGTGGTGGAGATGGCGATGGAGGGTGGCGCCGCGTGTGGCTCGATGGTGTCTGGCGATTGCATGGCGTCAGGGCATGGCGAAGTCGAACTCGGGGTTCAGCAAAGAAGAGAGGGAATGCGACCACGACCGTCGCAATGCTGCATGTCGGTGCTTCTAGCACGACTCTGTTCAAGCACGCATCCACCCTCGCTTGCCAGCCGAAGTGGATTCCCTGCCTTGGCTCGACTCTTGCAGTCTCATGTTGCATTCCCATCCATCCCCAGACGGCGACTGCGAATGGCTGGCATTCGCGGCCGCCAGCTAAGCACCATGCCTACGACGGCGCCGCTCAATCATCTCACTGCTCGTGCTCGCGGTATTCAACATCTGACGGCTCTCCAGCAGCACACCCCCGTCTCTCCTTCACGCCATGCCGATATACGAGGGTTGACCGCCCAGAATCGACTGCAGCCACAACGCTCGCGGCCTGCCGAAGTGGGGTAGCGCAATATCTGGCCTCGGGCCTTTGGATGCTTTGAGCATAGCAGCAGAAGCTTCCAACTGCGCCGTCGTCGTCTGGACGCTTGCTGGGGACGCATAACCGCACCATGCCACTGCTGCGACCGTCATCCCCGCCCGCGTCTGAGTAAGTGGTCGTGGCAGTCGTACAGGCAGACGGGCGTACGCGAACCACGACCCCTGCACTCGACGACACCGCTCTCACCCTCGCTACCACTACCACTACCATCTGCCCCGGAGCTGTTCCGTCCCGTACAGGGGACTTGTTCGAGTATTTAAACATGCGCCCAATAGGACCTCGTCTTGCCCGACATGGCCATGCGCTCTAAGAAACCCGTCGCAGCTGACTGCTGCCGCGCCGTCGCCTCAGCCCATACCACGTCGAAAAAAAACAACCCCAATCTGCACGATACTGGCACGGTCGGACTTCGCCTATGCCAGCTAATTACCATCGTATCAGCAGTGGCAGCGTTCATCTCCCTCGGGCCCGCGGCCTCATCTCGCTTCCTGGGTGCACCCGCGCCGTTGGGTGCCATCTCAACGGTTCTCTCAGGGGCTGGCCGCCTGTCCCGATCAGGACCGATGCCGTGGCTGCTGCGATGAACTCTGCTCAGCAGCTAAACCCTTTTGCTGCCGTGCTTGACCATATTAAGCATTTGACACCAACGCTTAATCTTCATGCTTCTGCTTTGGGCGTACTGGTCGTGGCGCAGACGAGAAAAGACGCTCTGTGCGTCAAGAAGCCGGTCGTGGGGGGTTAATCTGGTACAGCCACACTTGGAAACTCGACATGAACGGAGTGAAACGTGACAGCAAGTTGACAGGTGCGACGTACAGGGCACACTTTGGTACGGATGATTCAACCAGAGACGGAATTTCGCGCACCTTGGGCGTGGCGGGACAATGCTTTGAGGTTGAAACTAACCACAAGAATTGTAACCTGCGTATTCCATCGCAGACGGTGTCTTCAACCCCATTCTCGGGCATATTTTTCTCCTCCCTTACAAACACTTACATCCACTCAATCACCACAGCTTCCACTCGTCCTCTGTTATGCAGTCATCACACGCAGATGCACCGAAGTATCATGCAAAGTACCAGGCCTCTACGTCTTGATCAGAAATACCATACTATATCTACCACGCCCTCTCCTCAACCCCAGGCTACCCCTCGCTGCAACAAGCACAAGCAGCAGAATATCAATCACTCAGTCTATGTAGATATGCCTGCTTGCAACAAAATATCCATACCATCACTATCACCCTAGGACTCTGTGTACGAGGATCAGATGACCTGCATATATCAGTTTCTACATCCTTCAACTTCAAGATTATTACTTATTCATTCCGTATCAAGTGCTGCATATACCACCTCACTGCCATATTTTATCATGATCCGACTACATTGTGAAATCTGTTGTATCAACATCAACATGACTCTTAGCACATGAATCCAGTCCTGTAGCTTCACCGTCAGGGATGATATAATGTGCCAGCAATACCTGGTACCAAACCAATACCATCCTGGAGACAAGCCTGGTCATGTGTATAACATGAAAAGGACTATCGTAACCAAGACGACTCGAGGATAAAAGGTGGGGCTTTCTGATGTGCCCAGTGTGATTGCAAGGGATATGCTACCTCCAGCTGCATGTGCGGAACAAGAAGAGATACATATTGTGTCATGTTACTTTGATACTTTACCTAGAAGATATCAAACATGAAGAGAGAAGAAAGGAAGAACTAACTTACTAAGCTCTTGAGTTAAGAGACTATACACAGCGATAAGATCAACAGGCGGAAGTTTGAGAATGAAGGTGTAGTACCACTATTATGTGTTATTATTATAGCAGTTAAAACTTGCTTCCTACATCCCCCCCCCCCCCTACCTCTACCCTAACAGCATCCATCTCATCTCACCCCCTTCTAGCAACATCCATGCGCGAATCCAGATATACTCGCAAAACTCAATCTAAATCCTTACTGCTGAAGAATACACACTAACATCAATGTTGACATGACATGACATGACATATCGCCCCTAACCATCCCGTCCTCTCTCCTTTCCTTACATCAACATCTGGCTGGGAATATTGTACTGTTACTTCCTATATTGCACTGTACTGTACTGTACTGTACTGTACTGTACTGTACAGTGTTGCTTCAGCAAATACCACAGTGTCTGACTTGAAACCTGGGAATAGTGTTTGTAATAAGTAGATTGATTATAGTAATCCTGGAAGGAAGGAAAAACACTGCTTTGTATGCTTACACTGGATTGAGTCAAGTCGGTTCAAGTCTGTAAAGGAAGGGAGAGAAGAAGAAGAAGAAGAAGAAGAACAAAACTAATTGCCAACAACAAGGCAAACCAAAAAAAAAGTCAAGACTAGAATAGAAATTGTAGTTTTTTTGTGCGTGAGGGAGTGACAACAGTAATGATAGACTCTTCTCTGATGGCACTATCTTCACATCCCTTCTATATCGCCATTTCCATTTCTATCTCCAGTTCCATTTCTATCTCCAGTTCCATTTCTATCTCCAGTTCCATTTTTATCTCCAGTTCCAGTTCCAGCTCCAGCATGACATGCCCGTATGTGTATCATATTCCTATCCCTATCCTATCCACCTGTTTTGATACGTGATGTAACAAATTGCCCCAGGTAGCGAGCGGGTTTCACAATGCTGGGGTTAAGTAATGCAGATGTTACTTTGGTTATTTGCTACACATGCTCAGGTGACTTATTTGGGAAATGAATGGAGGGAGGGAGGGAGGGAGGGAGAGGTGAGGTGAGGTGAGTTGGGCGAGAGCAACAGAGGGAGATAGAAAAGGAATGATTGTTGCGAGAGGAGGAGTGAGGGATATGGAGAGATGGAGAAATGGGAAAGTGGTGAAAACGTATTTGGTGGAGGGAAGGTGGTGGGTAGGTATGAGTAAGTGAGTTCTGGTGAAGAGTTCAAAGTTGGAGGAGTGAGTGGCATAGCGCATGGTAATGACTAGGTGTGTTTGGAGATCTGGTACCATGTGATCCCTTTCGGGGGGAGGGGGGGGGGAAACAGTGTTTAATGGTATGTTTTAGCTGGGGAAGTGCGTTGTTCTCTCTTTGGATTCCTACGAGATGTGTTTAAAAGACGAGAGGAATATAATCAAGCAAAGCAAAGCAAGGCAAGACAAGGCAAGAGATTATTCAGTATTAAACAAGCAATTCAAAAAGTAAGCAATCAAGTTAATAATGCAGCCAGCGAGTTGATAACTCCAAACCAGTCACATATTCATATCAACTTCAAAAGAAAAAAAAAGCAGAACGAAGAGCTCATATCAAAGCATCTCCCAGCCCACCAAGTAATCATGCGGGAATTTACAAAGACGTAGGAATTCAAGATCGCTACTTCCTTTCCTTTCCTTTCTACGAACTTCTTCTATTCATTCCATGCGTAATTCCAAGGTGCCAACGCACCAAGTCGATCCGATGCCAAATTCGACTTGGGAGTCGGAAATACAGTACTTTTCACAACACTGATACCGCAGCTACATTAAGTACAACAAGAAGAGGGGGATGGGTAGGAATTTGCAGATGGACAAACATGTACCTACAAGTTGATTAATGCGAAATTTGTAGTGAGGAAAGGTTAAAACTGCTATATCAATTTCCACAGCGTATGTCTCATGGCCATATCCTTGGACTATTAAATGTTTCTTCAGCACCCCTTTTCCTTGTTTCATTATTGCTTTGAGGATGCTGACGCAGCGAGTTTCTCGACGCAGTAGAGTACACGATGCAAGAAAGTAGGAAGATGGCATACCCTGTACCTTTTACACGACAGGTAGATGTTTGAGTCCTTCGGGTTGGTGTCACTAGCTACAATCTATATAGTAACTCTGAGCAGTATACATCCTAACGGTATGTTTTTAAACACACGAATGGTCATGTCTGGATCAGAGCAAGGGTAGTCGAGAGTCATCGATACCATGTTTGTAATGGGAATGCCCTTAGCCATATCGAGAGTTTCCCTTTCGACAGCATGTGAGTGCGATTCTTGGACATCATTATGGTGTTTTCAAATGGACTGGTAGTGGCTTCAAAACACCAACTCATCACGTTCCGTCATAATATTCAAAGGCTCAAATCCGAGTAAACTATACGCTGACTTGTATGCCAATCAAGCAAATCACAGAGTCAAAGTATTCTAGTCAGACTTCCAAGTAGACATTGTCGAGTGAGCAGCAAGTCAACGCTTCCTTTTCACGATCA